CTGGATTCGAGAGTTCAATAAATTTGATCTCTACTCCAAGAGCCCGGAATTGCCTGATATTAAGACCTTGATACCTTATTATCAGTCACTCATTGATAAATATATACCAGGCATAGTTAAGTTTTAATGATCATAGGGTTATAAATTGATTGCTATATTTATACAATAAAAGTGTTATGATTGATTGTATTTGTTTAATAAATTTGTTTTAAATTTATTGACTACTGTATTTATAATTTTTATATTAATGATTAAAACATTTTTTTGGTAATAAAAATATTTTATTGTTAAGTTTGGGAACGAGTTATGTTAACCATTAGGACAAAGTCTAATTATCTAAATGAATAGTAGCAAATATAAGAATGTGTACATTTCCCATTTCAAATGACACGTAAGTTTCTGTATTAATATAATAGTTGCCGTACAGGTCGACTGTAGATACTTGCCAATTATAAGTAGCATATTCTGTTTGCATTGCCATACAGATAGTTGTGTCAATTTTGTAAAATTATCGCATTTGTCAATGGCATCAATACAATCATTTTCACATCCGATAGCATTGTTTCATTAATAACGTGTCTATACTCTCATATTGACGACTGATTTTTCGACTTTGAAACCTTATTTTAAACTGGCCATAATTGGACTACATATGAATGAATAGTAGATTTGTAATTATATATTAATATAAATATCGTATTCTTTATACTTATGATACTTCGTGTGTCTTATAAATTATAATTTTCAGCCCATGGATAGCGATGGATAAGCAATATTCTGTGTAATGGTTTAGAATTTACAAGATTTGATGCTTAACTGTACGATACAGTAGTGAATACAATTTGAATACAAGTTTGAAACTTACAAAACATTTATTAGAAAATCAAATAAAATTCTATTTGAATTCTAGAATAAAATGAATGCTTTAACAAAGTATTTACTTTCAATCAATTAATATTCAATTTGATATGTCACTACAATTACATTAAATGAAATACAGTTTTGTTGTACTGTAAACATTACGGTAGATATTTAAATGTTATGTAAGGATTTTGTTGTCAAATTTTAATTTCCTAAATTAAAATATAAATATATTTTTTCATTTTATGGATTATACTGCACTGGATTGTGTACTGTAAGTCTTGATACGAGTGATAATTACTATTAAAGTTTAGTAATTAGTAATTACTACTAATTATCTTATTTTTTAGTTCCAAATATAAGAAAGGTAACATTTCCTATTTTAAAAGTTATGCGTGTCCCACTTTCTTTGAAAATGTAGTAGCTCCCATAAAAATCCACTGTACTTGTTTGCCAGATATAAGTAGGGTATTTGCTTATCATTTCACAACCAATATTCCTTGTCATCTCGACAAAATCATTACTTTTATGAATGGCATCGAATACAATCGTTTTCACATCCGATAGCATTGTTTCATTCATTTCGTTGAATAGAATATCAAATTCAGGCCTTATTTTTCCACTTTGAAACCTCCGCTTAAAATCATCAAAATAGCCCTGTATGTATGTTTAGAAAGAAAATTTAAGTTTATAAATTGAATAACGTATAGGTTTCAAACTGACCTCATGTGTAGCATAGATTTCAATACACAATCGATCGAACACTACGTGTAAGTCAAACCTTTTATAACTATAGAAGGAATCGTATTCATATCGTTTGCCAACGATTACGTGCCAATTATCACCAAACTCGTCATCCAACTTTTCTTTCAAATTCTCAGAAAATTCATAAAATGAATTGTATTCAAGAATATATTGGCGAATGAATTGCATTATATTCTCAGTCATATCGTCATCGCATTCATTGTCAATAATTTCATGATCCAAAATATTTGTGCGAGCTGATTTAAATATTGCAGCAGCATCAACCTACAATACATGAAAAATAATATTTTATCAAATACCTGTTCATTTCAATTACCTCTGAATTTTGGGTAGTATTTTGAGCTCTCGCTGGTGACATGCCTGAGATATTTGGTCTAGTTAAGTTTAATTCCTTTTTTAATTTGTCATTTTCCAAATTTGATTTCTTAAGCAATGCTCGCAATTCTTGAACACAATTATGCCCTGGCGTTTTTATACAATCACACTGGTCGCATTTAATTGTATTAAATTTGCAACTGACAGTGTGCTGGGTTAAATGTTCCAATTTGACGACCTCTTTGCAACCTTTATCTTTGTAATCACAACTGATTTTCAAACTTTGTAACATATTTACGAGTGCCCTGAATAAGTATACATTTTCACACAAGTCCTTGTAAATGTAGCAAGGCTAAATAGTAATTTATTATTTAGATATAATATTTTAACAGTACCTTGGTGGTCGTGTTAATCCACTCGTAGTTAAAGGTTTCCTATCTTGTGGACAGGTATTGTTAGTGTTAAGCCATTCATGTATACATCCCTCGCAATACATTTGTAAGCAGCAAGGTGATACAACTGGACAACATATTATGTCCTGACATATACTACACGTCAGTTCATCCCTTTCCCCTTCACTCAAGTTGACAAACCGGTCGATATTATACCCGGACATTATTGGTCGTATTTATATATTTTTAACATAAACGGTTATTACCCACTTAAACAATTTATATTTTATGTAAAATATTAATATTTATAAGTTATGCTAATATATTTTCAATAGTTCATAGCAATAGTGTATGATAATAGTTACTGGTAACAAGTATCAGTAATAGATAACTGTGCTTGTACATTGCTCTGTATAATTATTCACTGAGAAATGAATGGTTATTTAAGAAATATAATGTTAAAACTGTATTTACTGTGATTATTATTATTATTGCAATAATTTATATCTATTTTATTATCTTGTTTATAGCTATGATTAAATTTCATTATACTGGTATTTTTACTCATTTTAATATGAAATGAATATTTAGTTTACATTTATTATAAAACTAACGATTCATTTACATGTGAATGAGATTACATTCAATTAACGATTTGTTTAAATTCACTTTAAATTGTATTTTATTTACAAAATACACTTTTATTTGAAAAACGATTTATGTTTTGCGAGAATATTCTGTGCATTGGTTTAGAATTTACAAGATTTTCTGTTTTATCAGTACTTATGGAATTAAATCAATACAATTCATAAGTTTACTAAACATTTATTAGAAAATATAATATTCCAATAGAAATATAGAAATAACTGAATATAACCCTCCACTGTAGGCCACTATAGATTTTTAGATAAAAATATTGAATAGTGAACTATAGATGACTGACCACTGGTGACAAACTTAACAAATCATTTGAGATCATAATCTGAGCGTACATTGGAAAGGAGACCTACAGTGGAGTGGTGGTAAGGGTACAAAGTAGACCAGGGTGTAATTATTTAATTTTGTTATCTCTATATTTGTTTATTATTTAATACAATTCTCTCGATTACTAAATACAGTTTTGTTAATCAAAATGTGGATTAAAAGAATATGTTATTTTTAAACTACGCTTATTATTAATACTTATCCCTGTTAAATTTTATATATTTTAATAAATAATCAGGGTTTATATCGTTTTTGAACATTTCCCATTTTAAATGACACAAATGTACCTCTTACTTTTTGAAAGCAATATGTGCCGTAAAAATCTAATGTAGATATTTGCCAATTATATGCACGATATTTGCGATGCATTTCCTTGGATACAGTTGTTATCATTTTGGTCCAGGAGTCTTGCTTTGCAATGGCATCAAGCACAATCATTTTCACGTCCGATAACATACTTTTAGTCATATCGTTCAATATGATTTCAAATTGCCGGTTTATTTTGCCACTTTCAAACCTCCGTTTAAATGAGCCATAATAGGACTACATATGAATTTAATATTATATGCTTGAACGTATTATATATCTATAACACTTACATCGTGTGTCATATACATGACAATAAACAATTGATCGAATTCGACGCTTAAAAAGTGCCCGCAATTCAAAAGTACAGTTCGAATCGAATTCGTATTTTTTGCCAACGATTACATGCCATTATATGGTCACCAAATTCATGCCCAACTGTTGCTTCAAATGTTCAGACAATCCTATTAATGAATTGCATTCAACAATATATTGCCGCATATATGGCATCATCGTGGCAATCAATCCAGGGTCACAATTGTTTTTATGTAGATATTTGCCAATTATATGCACGATATTTGCGATGCATTTCCTTGGATACAGTTGTTATCATTTTGGTCCAGGAGTCTTGCTTTGCAATGGCATCAAGCACAATCATTTTCACGTCCGATAACTTACTTTCAGTCATATCGTTCAATATGATTTCAAATTGCCGGCTTATTTTTCCACTTTCAAACCTCCGTTTAAATGAGCCATAATAGGACTACATATGAATTTAATATTATATGCTTGAACGTATTATATATCTATAACACTTACATCGTGTGTCATATACATGACAAACAATTGATCGAATTCCACGCTTAAAAAGTGCCCGCAATTCAAAAGTACAGTTCGAATCGAATTCGTATTTTTTGCCAACGATTACATGCCAGTGATCACCAAATTCATGCCCAACTGTTGCTTCAAATGTTCAGACAATCCTATTAATGAATTGCATTCAACAATATATTGCCGCATATATGGCATCATCGTGGCAATCAATCCAGGGTCACAATTGTTTTTATTAATTTTGAACTCAAATAGGTTAGCCCGAGCTGACTTAAATAATTCACCAACATCCACCTATAATATTTGATTGTAATATATAGAAATTAATATTGACTAGTTTATTTTTGTTTTAATAAGCTGCTTGGGTTAACTTATATTGTAATAACATGCTAATTCAAAATACCTGTGAATTAAAAGTAGGATTTTGAGTACTCGCGGATAATTGGAGTCATTTTGTTGAATAGTATTTAAGTTTTAATGCAATAATTTGGGTATTCTTTTGACTTAATTCCAAATTTGTATTCTTAAGCAAAGTTTGTAATTCTTGAACACAATTATGACCAGGGTTCTTCATACAATCGCACTGGTCGCATAATATTATTGTAGTATTATATTTGCAACTGTTTGTGTGCTGGGTCAAGTTTTCCAATTTGAGCACTTCATCACAACCTCTATCTTTGTAATCGCAACTTATTTTTAAACTTTGTAAAATATTCACCAGGGCCCTAAAATGTGAACATTATATTTGCAAAAATTTAATTGATGTTATTTTTAATATTACCTTGGTGGTCGTGTTAGTTTACTTCTAGTTAACGGTTTTCTATCCTGAGGACAAGTATTGTTAGTGTGAAGCCATTCATGTATACACTGTTGGCAATACATTTGTAAGCAGCAAGGTGATACCACTGGACAGCATAGTATGTTCCAACATATACTACACGTGAGTTCATCCCTTTCCGTTTCACTCAAATTGACAAACCGGTCGATACTATAACCGCACATTATTTGTATGCATTTACTAAATATATGACAAAAGCACTCAGACTGAATATATTTTTATGTAAAATATAAAAATGAATATATTTTTATTATCATATAAATGCAATGCATGATTATAACTAATAGTAACATAAATATAATTTAATATAAATAATCTTATGTTATAAATCATAATAGTTTTTATCCTGATTGTAATTAATTAAACATTTAGTATTCAGTCCTCTGACTCTTGACTCGCCATACCTTCCCAACTACTGTCTTAACACATATGCCATGAGTTGTGGTCTTTAACTGATGTGTTGTCGCAAGAAGTGGAGTCCAGAAGACAATTGTGTTCGGCTTTCACTCCAAAACTTCACTCAAATGTCATTGATAACTTTTGTGAACATTTTTAAAACATACACTGTATTATACAGTACTTTTATTTTATCGATAGTCTATTCATTTATATATTTTGAGACATTTTCAGATTTATATAAGTTTATTGCCAATCAGTAAAATGTATTACAGTCACATTAAAGCGCAGAGATTTCTACTATTTACGTTGTTATCATTTCAATCCATTTCCCACCTTATATTTATCATTTGATATACGAGTGTTGAGTAACACTGGGGATAAATTTAAATATAATTAACTACCCTTCATATTGCCAAATATAATAAATTGAACATTTCCCATTTTAAAATTCAGACTAATGTGTTTACTAATGCAATAAGTTCCGTAAAAATCTTTTGTAAAAGCTTGCCATGTGAACATTGGATATTTTCGTTGCATTTCATTCTGGATAGTTTTTGTCATTATCATGAAATTAATGCTTGTATCAATGGCATCGAATACAATCATTTTCACATCCGTTAGCATACTGTCAGTCATATCGGTGTATGATTTAAAATTCACGGCTTATTTTTGCACTTTGAAACCTCTTTTTAAACTGACCATAATAGGACTACATAATTTATGGGTGTATAAATAAAATTAATATAATTAAGCTTTATATATTAAATATATATTTTGTATTCTCTATACTTACTTCGTGTGTCTTATAAATTATAATTTTCAAGCCATCAAAATTGACGGATAAGAAATGTTTTATCTCAAAACCAACATAACAATTATATTCATTGATTCTTGCTGCCAATTATCACCAACTCATCCAACTTTTCTTTCAAATGATCACAAAAATCACTGAATGAATTACAGTCAACAATATAGTGTCTAGCATGCTCAATATATTCTCGGTCATTTCCGCATCGCATTCATTACGAATAATTTCCAAATCAAATAGACTTGTGCGAGCTGAATTCAATAATACACCTTGATCAATCTGAAATGGGTTTAAAATATAACTCGTAAAAATGCATTGTTAAATAATTATATGCAACTATCGGATAATGTGATGCATTTAATTGTAGGTTTTGATTACTCACGGGTGATATATCGGCGATAGTTTACCTTGTTGAGCTCAATTCATGATTTAATTTATTATTTTCGACATTCTTTTGGCTGAACTCCAACTTTGTTTCCTTAACCAAAGCAATCAATGCGAGCAAACAATTATGACCCGGCTTTTTGACACAATAGCACTGGTCACATTTAGTCACATTAAATTGGCAAATAGTAGTGTGCTTGGTCAAGTTTTCTAGTTTAACTACTTCATCGCAGCCCTTCTCTTTGTAATCGCAACTGATTTTTAAATTTTGTAACATATTTACGATTGCACGATACATATACAGTATACAATTATAGCAAAATTTATGAACGAAATAAATAATCTAGTGGTTATATATTTAAAAGTACCTTGGTGGTTGGGTTAGGTGGGGCGTAGTTAACGGCTTCCTATCGTGTGGACAAGTATTGTGGTCTTGAAGCCATACATTAATACAATACTGGCAATACATTTGAAAGCAGCAAGGTGATACTACTGGACAGCATAGTATGTCCTGACATATACTACACATCAGTTCATCCCTTTCCGATTCACTCAAATTCATAAACCGGTCGATACTATAACCGGACATTATTTTACGATAATTGTGTTCACACTTTATAACACATTAAAACCTATTTATTGATCATTAAATATGGCCATAATGTTTGCCAATAACTAATGCGAATAGAAATATGATCATGTAAAGTATGATATCACTTGATTGTTATCTAGTTCATTTATAAACAAAACTAAAATATGAAACAAATATTTAGTTTACTTTAATAACTTATGAATCATAAGTTATGAATTGAGTTGGGATTTAATTTTTATGCATTTTTATTAGTGCTTAAAATGTAAAATAAATTGGACAGTTTTTAAGTTAGCAAAACATTTAGTAGAAAATTCTACTTTATTATTATTATTATTATTATTATTATTCACTTAATTGTCATATCAGTTAAATATGATATGAATATTTAGTTTACTTTTATCATAAAACTGATTTACATTCAATTAACGTTTTGTTTAATTCACTTGAAATAGTATTTTATAAAAAATAAACTTTTATTTAAAATATAATTTATGTTTTGCGAGAATATTTTGTGTATTGCTTTAGAATTTACAAGATTTTATACTTTATCAGTACTTATACAGTAGTGAATACAATTTGAATGAATACAAGTTTGAAGATTACAAAACATTTATTAGAAAATCAAATAAAATTCAATTTGAATTCTAAAATAAAATGAATGCTTTAACAAAGTATTTACTTTCAATCAATTAATATACAATTTGATGTGTAACTCCAATTACATTAAATGTGGTGTCAAACATGAAAATATTTAATAAAATATGTCTTAAAATTGTCAAAATATGTGAAAATATGTTTTAAATTCTTAATATTCCTTCAATTAATAAGAAAAATATACATTATTATCATTTTTAAGACAATAATTAATTAGATTTACAATAACATTGTACCTTAAATGCGGTTAAAATATAATATTCTTTAAATTAAATTATGTCCAAAAATATGAGGAAGTTTAATATTGGTCATTTTATGTAATTTTAACCCTCCCGTGAAATCTTAATAGATTAATAGTGATATTTATTATATTTTTATTCAGTGTATTATTTTTTAAGAATAATTTTAAAAATTATTGTCTTTTGCTTTCAATTATACCTCAAAATTATTGATTTTTAGGATAAAATGTTCAATTTTAACAAATATGTGCTACAATTTCAAAATATGTGGTTTTTATGTATTTATGTGAAAACTCTTGTTATATGATTCGTATAGATATCTGATCTCTGGGTTCATACCTCTTACCGCTAAAAATATTTGTTTGTGTTTTAGAAGTCTCTAGTAATTAGTAATTACTACTAATTATCTTATCTGTTAGTTCCAAATATAAGAAAGGTAACATTTCCTATTTTAAAACTTATGCGTGTCCCATTTTCCTTGACAATGCGGTAGCTCCCAAAAAAATCTAATGTTAATCTAATAATTTGCCACTTATAAGTAGGGTATTTGCTTGTCATTTTATCGCCAATATTATTTGTCACCTCAAGAAAATCATTACTTTTATGAATGGCATCGAATACAATCATTTTCACATCCAATAGCATTGTTTCATTCATATCGTTCGCTATAATATCAAATTCACGCCTTATTTTTCCACTTTGAAACCTCCGCTTTAAATCATCAAACCTGGGCTGCATGTATGTTTAGAAACAAAATTTAAGTTTAAAAACTGAATAACGTATAGTTTTCAAACATACCGAATGTGTAACATAGATTTGAATATTCAATCGGTCGAACACTACTTGTAAATAATACCTATCATAACTACAGGAAGAACTGTATTCATTTAGGTTGCCAGCGCTTACATGCCAATTATCACCAAACTCATCATCCAACTTTTCTCTCAAACTCTTAGAAAATTCAAATAATGAATTGCATTCAAGAATATATTGACGAATGAATTGCATTATATTCTCAGTCATATTGTCATCGCAATTATTTTGAATAAATTGATGATCCAAAATATTTGTGCGAGCTGAGTTCAATATTGCAGCATCATCGACCTACAATACGTGCAAAATATTATTTTAATCAAATACCTGTTAATTTCAATTACCTCTGAATTTTGGGTAGTATTTTGAGCTCTCGCTGGTGACATGCCTGAGATATTTGGTCTAGTTAAGTTTAATTCCTTTTTTAATTTATTTATTTCCACATTCTGTTGACTTATTTGCAACGTTGCATCCTGAAGGACTTTGCAACTTTGCTTAAGCAAAGCAAGTAATTCTTGCACACAATTATGACCAGGCTTCTCAGTACAAGTACACTTGGAACATTTCTTAATATTAAATTTGCAACTGACAGTGTGCCTGGTCAGGTTTTCCAATTTGACTACTTCTCCACATCCTTTGTCTTTATAATCGCAACTGATTTTTAAGTTCTGTAAAATATTGACGAGTGCTCTGAATAAATAAAGTTAATACAGATATTATTCAAGGAATTTTTAAAAAATATTTTAGATATACCTTGGTGGTCGTGTTAGTCCACTATTAGTAAGAGCTTTCCTATCGTGTGGACAGGTATTGTTGGTTTGCAGCCATTCATGTATACACCCCTCGCAATACATTTGTAAGCAGCAAGGTGATACCACTGGACAGCATAGTATGTCCTGACATATACTACACGTCAGTTCATTCCTATCCGTTTCACTCAAATTGACAAACCGGTCGATACTATAACCGGACATTATTTGTACGCAAATATAATGTTTGCAACTTCTAAGGTAAACAGACTATAATTGTATAAAAAATATTTAATTTACATTATATATATTATAAATGGCAATATTTTATGATATATTTTATGGTAACAAATATATTAATTGATAAAAATTACACTTCACTAGGGTAATTATTTAGTAAGCAATAATTTATTATCAAAAAATAAATAATGTTATACAGTAGATCTATTAGTGAGAATTATATTTCTATATTTCTATTTTGTTATCATTTTTGCAATTAAAATGATTTAAGCATTTCATTTACAAAAATAAACGTTTATTTGAAAAGCAACCAGGTCAATATTCTTGATTGGTTTCCAATTTAATAGATTTGACGTTTTATCAGTACTTATGAAATAAAATGAAAACATATTTAAGTTTACAAAACATTTAATAAATGATAAAATAGTTTTAATATAAAAATAGAAATACCAAAATACAATAACACACACCGGCCTACCCCTACCATCCTTCCACTGTAGGCCGATGCGTGCGGTTTAAGGGCTCATAAAAGTAATTAATAAATCCAAACTTTCAATCAAATCCACTGTAGGCCTTCCTTTCCTATACTTACCTATACTTACTTATCAGTCCACCATCGGTTCCAATGAGATCTCAAACGGGGAACTCTGAGCTCTGCCTACCCGTCCACCCAATCACTATTGGCCTCCCTTTCCTTGTGCTCAGAGTCCATACCAGAGTCGACCCAACGATTCCATGGCTTGTCTGATATTCCATGTCTACCACCGCTTAACCCAATGGTCTGTTTGGTGCCAAACCTGTAAACCTAAGAGTGAAGAGTGAAAAGTGGGGGCAATAGTATCGGTTCCGTAAGAGTGGGGGCAATAGTATCGGTTCCCTAAGAGTGGGGGCAATAGTATCGGTTCCCTAAGAGTGGGGACAATAGTATCGGTTCCCTAAGAGTGGGGGCAATAGTATCGGTTCGGCCGCTGACGAGGACTAAGACCGGGACCACAGAGCGAGGTATAGGTCCCGGAACTGGACGTCTTTACGTACCCATAGGTCGGGCCTATGAGTGCCATATCTTAGAGTCAGACTTATACCCAATTCTATACCCAATTC